AGGATGGCCATCCCCCCAAGGTCGATGGCGCAGGAATCTACCCCTCCCTCCCAAGAAATTTTATTACTCGCCTCTTCTTAAATACATGCAAGCAAAATTAGAATTGGAAAAATCATAAATCATATACAATTAAACTTGCTGTAGTCTGGTCCATGCTTTTTCGTTTGTCATCTGGATTGATAATTTTCATTCCAAAAATTCATAATCCCGTAGAAATTTGCCCACCTCAAACATTCAAAACCGCGTAAAAATGTACCCCTCTCAAAAATTTTGATGGCACAACTTGAACCCAGCCATGAAACCCCCTTCTGGGCACCCCTGCGGCTAAGCTTAGTCCTAGAAGTAGGTACGTACTGGCGGATCTACAGGGGAGGGGGGGGGAGGACTTTCGGGATGAAGCTCCCCAAAATGGTAAAATGTAACCCTTTTTATGGAAACAAATATTTAAAAATTATCTCTTCAAGTATTATTGTTCGTGTAATTACATTTTATAGGACTTCAAGAATCACTTAAACACCATTCCATATAGGTAGTTACTATCTTTCTTTTTTTTCGAAGTAATTATCGTTATATATATGTGGAAAAAAACGCTTTCGGACTGGAGCTCCCCCCCCCCCTCCAAATTAAATCCTGGATCTGCTGGTGTATGTTCCTATTGTAATTCAATTTTAGTTTCTATTCGATGATAATTATACGTAGTAACATATCCTAGGATTTTATGATTCCTTCATATGCACCCTTCCGTTTTTACGTGAAGATTTTATCACATTTCCCACGCCAAATTTGTTGCATCAGAGAATTTATAGCTCATCTCACTGCCTTAAACTTTTAAATAAAAATAAAAATACGCGATAAATTCAATTGATTTGTTAATATATTTTCAAATATACACATACGAAAAAAAAATAATTATAAACTTATATATAAGTTTTTTTTAGTACATAGTATTATATTGTTCAATTGATGAAGAATTAATGTACTAAAAAAAAACGTAAGAAATAACATATTATGGTGCTATATCCTTCCCTTCCTCTCCTATGCATTGAATACTATTATATAAAAACTAAATTCTCCGCGCCCCCTATCTAATATTTCATATAAGTTCCGGTGCCTATGTATAGTGTTAAAAAAAAAATAAATTGAATCTTCTGAAATTTGTTTTTAATTTCCAATAATACTAAATTAAAAATAATATTGTCATAATCAATAATATTGAGGGGTGATAGACCGTCAGTACGCAGTCCGTTATTAAGATTTTTATTGCCAACGTTTCTACCTAAGCTTGTGGGTCATAAAATCCACAAACTTGTGTTCAAAGGCTGGCAATAAATAATTTTTAAAAACTTACAGCATCCTGACTATCACCCATGATTTGCAGAAGAGCTGACTGACTTCCTTCAAATGACTGTATGAGCTTTAAATGCTCGATGGATATCTTTGATGAATCATGAATGACCCTTTCGAATACTTATAACTTATGGATAAATGAAGAAGAACTTATTCCAAGAGCTTCGAAAGCATTCGCCACTTCTGCGGACAGAACGTGGATCTGTGAAGCCCTCTCTTGTTAGACGAAAAGAAATACGATCACTCTAGTGAACGCCTCCCACCATATTTACAACACCCACCGACTTAATCCTTAACTTTAGAGCTGTACTCCGACTACAGCATTCGCTTTTGTTTTTCTTTTTTCCTATTAGAATATCCAAAAAAATAATAATTATACGAAATATATTAAGAAAAACTGTTTATTTTATTTTATAATCCTCTTAGATTTTTTATTTTTAACTATAATTATTTAATGAATAGCGGATCCACGGGGAACTTTCGGGCGGAAAGTTAAGAAAAATTGTTTATCAAGAAAACATAAATTTTCTCCATAAAAACATTATTGTTCCTGCGATTACAATTTTAAAAAAATAAAATAAAATCAAAGTAACCTTTAGTAGATGAAATCTATAATTCGCTACTATTGGTGTATAGTACGATACGAGTATAAAAAATTATGTTTCGTTACTAAGGTACTGTAGTAAACACAATACCACGGCATACATCTTTATAAACGAACGAAAAAACAATAGGGTTTGTAAATTGTAATATATTAAATTTACTATAAAAACTGAAGAATAAGTAATGGATATAAAAAAAAAAATGAATCCTGAATTCGCTACTGCTATATTTTAATACCGTTGTGCAATCCTGGTAATTTATTCTTCAGGATATCGTCTTGCACGAGATTTATTCTTTAGGATCCCAACGAATGCCATTGATACAGATGATAATCAAACTGCTACATCTCTTCGATGTGCTCCAATATGTTATTCAATTGGTTTCCTTCGTTTATTTTATGTTAGGATTCAATTGCTTAGACTTCCCTTGACTCTATCAGTATAAAAATAACATACACCTTGAAATGTTCCCATTATGCCGGTTAAATGAGCATCATTAGAGGCCCATTGAAATTGTTAGAATCCATTAATGCAGACGAGTGCTGGAATCTATTGACTACATTGAACAGTTGACGCAAATAACGTACTTTTCAGTTCACTAAACATTTTTTAATCAGCGTTAATGAATGACGATTCCATTTGATATTAATGATGAGCATAATAATATCTCAGTCGCGAAATATTAGTATTGGTCGGGCCCCAAGAGCTAAGAAACCTCTTAAGGTGTAGTTCGCCAACTGAGGTCTTGTTTCTTCTTTTTTTTCTTAGAGTGCGACCACAGCCCGGAGGAATTTGCCAATCCCATTAGAGTAATTGGTAATTGAAGAGTTTAAGATTCTCATTCAAATGAATCTTCCAGCTGACCGGCAAAAAGATCTATCCCCATCAACCATAATAATGGAAACCACAAAAGGTGAATATATGGCCAATTGAATGTTTCAAATTGTCTCTTTGGGTGTTACCGGTCGGATTAATAACTGCAAGCCGCGGAATACTACGTCTTCCTCGGTAATGTACTAGTGAGTTCAGTTTTTCGTAAGTTGGTATTAGCTGTATTCTTAAGTCTATACTTTTAATACCATGACCCAGGTTCGAGTCCCTCTATGGCAAACAATGCATTTATTACATTATACCAACTGTTTACCAATGCTGTTTTTAGGAAATCGTCATAGGACACGCACTGCCCTACGCCCTATAAGGTTGGTGCCAGGAAAAACAGGATATAGAAAAAAACACATAGATTATGCCCATAAGTTGCTCGATTTGGTACTTTCGCATCTGGGGCCGAAGCCCTTCAAAACAAGTAAAGAACAATTGAACCGGTTTCGGTAAGTTATTCGTGAAGTAGGTATGGAGTTATAAATTATTGTTAACGTGAATAAGAATTTAGAGATATGTTGTGAGCACCACATGATACTCGTATGTCACTCCTGTGATCTGGAGAATTACTTTTTTTTTTAAATAGTAATGGAGTACGATTGTATAGCCTATAGGGTACCTAACCTTGAATAGTTAACTTTCTTAATTGGCAATAGAGGCGGAGAAGGTCCTGGACAGGTGTCCAAGGAGGGTACACTTCCGCCCTCAGCTTCTTATCTAGACATTTTACCTTAGTTATCTTCTGCTATGTTTGAGCTAGCACCAACCGACCGCATCTTCTACCTATCGCCCAAAGTTCCATACTCAACTGACGGATCCTCTTTATTTATTTTTCAGTATTCCAGACCTCGGTGTTGAAAAAATATTTTTCAGAAGTTTTATTTATTTTTTAATCTGGATGTTTTTAAGTATTGTGATTGTGGAGGAAAACTTTGTCGGAGTCTCCAGGACTTACGTTGCATACTGCACATAAGCATGATGTTTATTTATTCCTTCTTCTATCAATGAATATATTTAATATTGTATATAAATATTAACATGAATGTATTCATATTTATATAATTAGACTTACTCGAACCCAATAGGTCCTAATTATTCAGTACTATTTAGGCTCCTCTAATGGTTCTGAAGATCTGCTTCCTTGGTATGTTGGTGTTCTTCCTCGAAGTGGATCTTGTATCCACCATATCCTATAGGTTTCGTCTTTATAATAAATCTCGTCTCGGTCCCATATTAAGTTACGGCCTGTGGTGACATTGCTCTTATCGGTTAGTGTGAGATGCCTCCGGTATATTTTTCATCCATCGTCCGGTAGTGTTTCCCAGGAGTGGCCAGAAAGGGCTTTAATGGCGCACGTTGCTCCATAAAAGTTTTTGAGGGGGGCAAATTTTGACTTTTTTTTTTTAATTTCTGAAGGAGGTAAATTTTGACAGGGTTATGAATGAATGGGTTATGAATAGAAAACATGGAACAGGTCGTAGTATGTGTAATTGTTTACGATTTTTTTAATTCTACCTTAGCTTGCTCTGTTTTTAAGAATATGTGAGCAATAAAATATCTTGGAAGAAGGGGGGAATAAGATCTTGGTGGATGGGCAGCCCTGTTTTATCCTACATTATGGCCAATTTTATCGTTTCAAGGTGACTTGTTAGTTTAGCCTTTTCTGATGTTTATGGTACAACAGCATAAACAAACTTGTTTCTGTATCTTATCGATATTACATAATTAATAAATTAGCTCTCGAACTGTGCTATGTATTTCAGTGAGAACATTGTTGATTATTTTACATTGATTGATTTTTTTTTTTTTTTTTTTTAAATAAGTTTCATTTCAAATTTGTTATTTGAAATTATAATAATAAAGTATTAAAAATTGTTTATAAATTAACTATTGTTCGAACTTTTTATTTTATTTATTGAATAATAATACATTCTGCCACACCCAAGGATAATACGTATTAGTGCTAAAAGTAAGTAGTAATTCATACAATATACACAAGAAGAAAAAAAATGTTTATTTTAACTAAGTTATAATCCTGAATAATGTTTGTAATTAATCAAGTATGAAATTTGGTTAGATACATATGATTGATGAACAAAATCATTAAGTTTTTATCAAACAGTTATTCCGGATTGACTTTGATTTAACAGTAAGACGGGATGTGACACAAGGATGCACCGGTATTACGAATATGTTATACACAAGAACATGAAGATGTTGGTACCCATTTCAACAACTCCGGTGCGACTTGTGTTCATAATTTACTTTCTGCTGCCTGCAACACATTTAAAATATTAAAGGAAGGAAGCCGCATCTCATAAAAGTAGGGCTTGTAATTTATGAGAAAGGAGAGCAGTGCAACGTCCCTCCAGTTAGAATCACAATTATTTCGTCAGGAAGAATCTTTTCTTCAAAGCCAACACTTTATCTAGTCAATTATTTGAGCAATAAATAGTTTTTCAGCATTTTTTATTGTAGTTATCCATTGAAATAAGAACTATAAAAATTAAAAAAAAAAAAAAAATCGGTAGTACCACCAATCAATGGTAGTCATAGTTTTGTAGCGAAAGAAAAAAAAACCAGGAGGATAAAAAAACAAGCGAACGATGTGGCCGCTTAATGGTGCGCTTGGTTTTGGAATATCTTTTCAAAACTAGCAAAGAAGTGTCCGGAGATCTTGCAGATAACAATCTGGTAAATAAAATGAAATTTAATAAATTTTTTACAGAGGGGGGGATGCAATTTCTATGACCGTCACGGTATAATTGATGCAGCGTGTCCTCTTCTGTCATCATTTTTTATATATATTTTTAATTTTATTATGAACGATTAATATTCTTTCTAGATGAAGAATTCGGATTGTTAATTTTTTAAAGATAACTTAGTTGATCCTGATTATTTGTTTATAAGTATAGAGGATTATTAAAAATAAAGTAGTCATCGAAGATTAAACGTTTTGATCTGCAATCCATTCTGTTTTTAGTTGAATCCATTTTTTTTTTAATGTGAGCTTAAACTGAAGGCTTTTATGTAGTAATCTGAGGCGTTAAATGGGCATTAGGAATAACATTACGTCATTATTTGAGGTTAAGATTGATGTAAGTCCTCAGCATGCGAATAAAAAGGAAGACAAGAGACTTGCCTGACGTTTAATTATCGTAAATCAGAATTGATTCCTTTTTCTCGGTTTCATAAAAATATTCCAAGGACAAATGAAGGAAAAAATATCTTAGAGTCTCGCCATTTTTATCACTAAATGATTGTGATTTCACTTCTGTATCACAACATCTATACCACTTGTTTCATATAAATCCTAAATTATCAAAATTTTCCTAATATCACCTATAACTATATCAATTGACTGTTTATAAAAATCCCTAATTTTATTTACTTTGTATTTATATTTATTTTTTTATTTTTCAGTTGTACGAAATCAGCGATGACCCGAAGAGAAAAGAGTTCCTGGACGATCTTTTCAGTTTCATGCAAAGACGAGGTATGTACCGTTTTAAATGATACGACTGTGTTGCTAATAATTAAATATATATAGGTATTACTAACCTTATTATTATTATTATTATATGTATATATTACTCCGTAAATAATAGTAAATTATTATTTATTATGATAGCAAGCATTTTTTATTGAACAATGTACAGGATGACACGTAAGTAAAGGGAAATGTTTAAATCACTAACGGATCCAGGATCAATTTTGGGGGGTCCAGCCCGTAAATTTTTTTTTGTAAGTATATAGGTATATAGGTGCGCAGAAGGGGGTTTTGTTGCGCAAATGCTCCATCACAATTAATGAGGGGGCAGTTTTTGACGAGGTTTTTAACATTTAGGGGGGCACATTTCGACAGTGTTATGAATTTTCAAAATTAATAGACAAGTGGAATCATGGAACAGACCACAGGATGTGTAATGGTATATAATGTACGAATATTCAAATTCTATTTTCGTTTGCACCGTTTTTAAGCAGAGAAGAACAAATATCTTGTAAGGGGTGGGGGAAGGTTTATGCACCATCGACTTTGGGGGGAGGATGGGCACCTCTGGGTATATATTACGATAATTATTTCGGAAGAAGGAAAGAAACGGAAGAAAGTACCTATATGAGATGGTGTTTAAGTGATACTTTAGGACCTATTAAAGATAATTAGACCAACAATAATACTTTTGGACATAATTTTTTTCATGAAACGGGGTTATATTTTACCATTTTGGGGAGGGGGATCCGCCTGTAGTTTAAATAGACGATTATAGACCTCGTGAGATACAAAAAAGTTTATACAAACCATGGTTCGATTTTTCGCAGAAAAGCGCGAAATTAAAATTTTTTTTTTAGTAGGAAGCGATAACTAATAAAATATTCAAGTTTGATAATTAAATATTATTTTATAGTAAACTAGACAAAATTTCGTTCAAAGGCATGTAGAGCTCGTCTTTAACAAGACATTTAAGGGGGCTTTTAATCTGCTGAACGAGGCTGTTCTGTTTTTCATAAAATCATGGATTATTTCCAATTTTTTTTTATCCAACAGTACTACAGATACCTCACTTTTAGAAAACCTTTCTTGTGTACGTTATAATTCACATTAATTAAGTTGAGGTTTCTTAGAAAATGTTTTCATATTCACTTCCTGTTGAGTTAAAATTTATAGGTGATACTCTCTCAACACAATAACTGTATTTTAGCAAAGGCACTTAAGAAATATTATTGCGAAGCTTTAATTTTCCGTGAATGGAGATGTGTTATAAATTAATTTCGTTTCGTTGAGTTCGTCTTGGTCAAAACCATTTAAAGAAAACTATTAGAGGTAATTTTGTCTAGTTTACTATAAAGCAATTTTTTAGTTTCTGAATTAAATATTTTTTTTTTAGTCATGGCTCTCTATTTAAGAAAACTCATGAGTTACAAAAAAAAAAAAAACATAAACGTAAGTTTCATTCTTTTTTACCAAAAATCGAACCATTGTTAATATGAACTTTTTGTGTAGCTATTGTGGTATACTATCACCCCTTTAAATTTTTCGCTTTTTTTTATAAGACATTCTGAGTATGTATTCCATATATTAATTGATTACGATATTTTTTTTATGATTTTTTTTTTATTACTATATATTTTATTATAAATATATAGTTATATTTGAAAGTCTTATTTTTGCTAGCTAAAATATTTTTTTCCTAAGATGACATCCTGGAAAATAGAATTTAAAAAAATATGTATTGTTTTATTTTTTTTACGTGCATACATCATAGATGATTTCAATAATAATCCTATTGTAATATGGGCCTCCTGATTCCAATCATACTTGGAGCGGGAGGTATTCGAGAGAGCTAATCAATCTTAGATAAGGAGGGCGGAGTACTTGGGACGGGAAAGGTGTTGGCAGTTGGAGTGGCTGGTGTCCATTGAGAGCCTGCTGTAAAGTATTTTATTGTCTAGGTCGCTACTCGGCAAATAGCGCAGAGCCATAAACAGATAATAAAGGATCTTTCGCTCCCTACCCGAGCACGATGACCGTAGTTCGGCCACATACGTTCAAACCCTTCTCCCACCTTCAATTGCTCCGTCCGAATCGGTCCGAATGCCTCCTTCCATTCGTGATTGGAGTAAGAAAAAAAAAGAGACATAGCAATAGAATGAATTAATGAATGATGAACCATTTCAGCATGTATCATTCTCATCGGTTTGGTCCGTGCTCTTAGTATTTTAATTTTCAACTTAACAAATAGTTTTAGAGCACAAGTGTAAAAAGTATAGTAGATATGTGATTATTTGAGGGCTTTATGGCACCATGCACAGAGAGAGACTTGTTTATTCCACGGTACAGACCCCTTTTGAACAAGTCATTAACACCAAACATAATTATATTTAAACATAAACATAAAAATATATAATTAATAATATAATTTAATAAAATAAAGTAAGAATGAACTAACAAATATATAAAATAATAAAAATAAAGAAATAATAATGATGAAAGAGTTTCACAGATATAAGTCTACAAAACAGTAGATAACTAAATTAAATATAAATAAATTACATTTATTTATTATATTTTATTTAAATAAATAAATTTATTTATTTATATATATATATATATATATATATATATATATATATATAATAAATGTCATCTACAATTCATAATGATGTAGAGATGGTTGACCGTGATGTCATCTACAATTCATTCATTCTTGTCTACATACAATATTTACATTCGCCCAAGGGACTCCGAGCCATGCTTTGTCTTCTACATGTGAAACGCTAAGCAAGACTCCAGTGATCTATTGTTGCGCAAAATCGGTCTTGGTCTTGCACTCTGTCAGACCGCCAAACTGTTGCAAGACCAATACCAATATCTGTAAAAAAATATCGATTTTTTGAATAGAAATTGAAGCAATATAGGTGCTAATAATTGACAATTTTAGTTACTATACGTAAAGAAATTGAATAATCCGTATACTTTTGCATTTATCTCTTCTAAATTTTCATTCGGCCTTAATTATGTTTCTCCTACCTAAAAAAATACAGTAATATCTCCATAGTAATAAGCTAATAGCTAACTGCGAGACTCTAGCCCAAGACCAAGATCAAGACTGAGTGCTCAAGACCAAGATCAAGACTGAGTGCTCAAGACCAAGACGAGTCTTGGTCTCGCATTTGGGCAACAGTAAGTAGATTCATGCTCTTCTCTAATAGAATGGAATTGGTTGGAGAAAGAGAGGGCACTATTCGCCAAAATATAATTTTTATTTTTTGACGGGGCCTCGAGATCCCCAGGAAAATTACATACGTGTGTATTATTTTTTTAAAATTTATATAGTGTCATATGACATGATCTTCGTACAGTAAATATTATACATGTAATACACGATGTTTGAAGGTTACGATCCCTAATGACTTGTATTGCAAGTTCTTCCCTAGGCGTTGTTAGGCCCCGCAGGTCACGCACGCTGCTTCATAAAAGCTAAGTAGTCAAGGACAGATTGTTTTGGTTTTTCCAGGACCCCAATCCCCTTGTTGATAAATATTGTTGCGACTGGTAACAAGTGTCATTATGAGCTTACAAATTAGTAAATAATCTTTTATAGCATTATCTATTATCAGCTGTACAGGTTTTCATGTAACGATTAATTTTAATGCCTCGCAAACGGTACTCAATATATTTGATATAAATATGGTTAATTATATATGAGTATTTTATTTTCAAAGTGAATATTAATCATTTAAAATTTTCCAGGAAACGCGAAAACTATATTTTCGAATTCCGATTGTATCAAAACCAATATTAAAAAAAAAACATATTAATCAATCAATTCTTTATTTTTAGAACATATTTCCGATAATAACTGATTATTCCAGCAGTAATTAAAAACAATAAAACTTGATTAGGGTCCATTTTGGAAACAAAAAAAAATGGTGTGTAATTCGGGTGGGGGGGGGGAGGTGATAGGTTATAAAAATTGTACTATCACCAAATTAACCTTTTGTTTACAATAAAATAAATAAATTTTTAATTCTCATTTGAAAAAAGGGTTAAGAAACCATTTAAAGATTTTTTTTTAAAGCATATTTCCGGAATGTAAGTATCACATTCCTTGAAAAAAATGTCGTTTTTGAAAATAAACTTATTTTCATACTTGTTTTTTTAATTCCTCATACCAGACTTAAAAGATAAGAAGCCGCTCCATGTTTCCGACTACTTGAGCCTATTTACAGAGACCACTCTGACAAGGCCTATTTGGAAATATGGAGTTGACCTTTGAGTCTCCACTAAGCCGTCGAATTCCTCTCGTGTCAAATCCTTACAATCCATAATTCTCAGTTATCCTTACTTTGTAACATACACAATCATCCATAATGACCTTAATGTTCCCCATATGTGTCCGATTTGGCCCAATCCAGATACCTATCCTTCCATAATAAACTTCTGAACAGGCTATGTGTTCGGATATACAAGCCCATCCTGTACTTTTTTTTACATTAATAAAGATTTTATTAAATCTGAAATGGTATCAACGCTCCAACAATATTTTTTAGATCCTTACATATAGATATAATTTATAGATCGTAATATCGCCATTATGTGTTTCATTATAATTAAAAGATTCCTTGGAACCTTAAATCTTTTAAATGGTTACTAGGACCATCAACCTTCCTACCTGGAAATCTTCAAAAGTTATTATCCAGATCGGTTCTGCCCAATTTTTTTTTTCTTCCCTGATTCCAGATCATAAATTTTTTTATCACCACCGAATTTAATATTCCATCTATATATACACTTACAATGACGGAGATGGCAGACGGGATTCTAACCGACTTAAATGGTCAGAGTTCGTATGAGAACATCTATGGTATAGACTTGACATTTCTGATCTTCTGTTCTACGTGCTACTATGGTGATGTCTCCTACCACCGAGATCCACGACTAATATAATACAAAATATTTTTTTCACTACAATCAGCCTTGTAACCATGTTCTATCTCTTGCTTTCTGAAATTCTCTACTTATTTATTTTTTTTAATGGTATATATATATATTTTTTTTTATTTTATTTTTTTATTTTACTGGAAAATTACTTTAACTATGTTATAATATCTTGTAGTGTTGTCCAAAATCTGTCTTGATCCTGCACTTTGCATAACAAGACTGGTAAAAAAAAAAATCGATTTTTAATACTTCACAATTTTAGTTACTATATGTAAAGAGTTTGTATGACCAATATACTTTTGCATTTAACTCTTCTAATTTTTCTTTCTGGCTTTGTTAAGTTTCTCCTATCTAAATAATTACAGTAATATCTCTATAGTAAAGACCAATACTAAGTACGCAAGACCAAGAGTCGTAATCTCTTCCATATAAAATAAAACTAATATATGTAAAAATATAAAACAAAAGATCATGTGGAATGTCAAAAAGAAGATGAATAGATATAATCAAAAAAGATGCAATGGAGTTGCATGAAGACAACTGAAGAGAAATATCCCAGGATAGGCAGAGATGAATTAGGTTTGTTAATGTGGAAAAAGGTCTACAAGATCTGAAATGCCTAAAGAAAATGGAAATAAACAAAATTTAAAAAGTAAAAATTACTTGTTATTTTTATTGTATAATATTTTTATACATAAGGTGTGTAAACTCTCTTAGTAAACTAAAAGTTATTTCATCGTATAATAATTTTTTTGTGTCAAAACCTACAGTTAACCTAAAAACATACTGCAAATAAATTTACTTACTAAAATAAGAAATATAATCGTCATTCTGTGTTAGGTCTATACGCGTTATTCGGCATCGCACTTTTTCACCCATTTGTGTCCAATCGAAAATGAAAAAATGCATTGCGAAAAGAACCATTGCATTTAGATGTGAGCATGGTCGAAACCGTTTCATACAAGCACGTTACTATTCATTAACTATTTTGAAGTTGAGAAATTGATGTTAATAAAAGTATTAGTTTAAGTTTGATTTATGAACAGTCATTACCTTATATTGATATACTTCAACTATTGGCATGGTTAAAATTATATTACCTACGATAGACATAGACCGTATGATACATCCATGTTCCTCTGACTACCAGCTTGCCAGTAAGTAAAAAAATAAAAAAAATTATAATCTAATTCGTATATATTTATTAATTAATAGTAACAATCGACTTATATTTTATGTTTCTTCCAAATACTTCAACATATTTCCATCAATTGCTAGTGCGTTGATGCGTTTGCTTGAGGAGTAGATTGGTGTTGCTGGCTTCCTCTAATTATTTCCTGCGATAGAAAGCAGAAGCACCTGCTCCCTTTCAATGAGCCCCCATATAAGTATAGTGAGTGCCCTGTCCTCTTTATCGCAATGCTGTTTGTTCTAACTGAATAACTTCCAGTCTCGTAAATACCAGATTTGAACTTACCTACAAAAAAAATAAAATAAAATAAATATTAAATACAGATATTTTTACTGTTAATCATCCATATATGAAATGTATAATTCGGGGGATTGAAGCGATCGTAAAAAATTTCGGATTCGAGTTATCAAAGGTCATGTTTCAGGGTTCCCTGATTAAAAAAAAAAAATCTCGTATCTGTGTGTATACGAAAAATGAAAAGTTGTATGAAATTGAAGTAACGTATTTAAGTCTGTTGTAGCAACTTTTTCGTCAAAATCATCTGACCAGACATGGTTCATGATATATTTTACATGTTCCGTAGTTTTCTCGAAAATGACTAAGGATTTTGATTAAACTCGTCATATCGATGTAAAATGGCCTTTAATATCATGTAGGCATTGACCTCATTCAAATAGTCTGAAATGACGCTGCATTTTCAAAAATTGTTTTCTTGTAATGTATTTAATTTAATTAATTTATTTTATTTTTTTATAAGAAATGGATAAAGGCCTCTCATTCGCAATTGGAAGACTAAACTTTCTGAAAATGTACCATATTGCTATATGCGGTTTTATCCGGATATTTCTTTGACAGTTTAGAAACGATATTCTTAAAGCAATGGCACCATTAAGCGGTCAAAATGTTCGTTTGTTTTTTTCCATGTTCCCAGTTTATTTCTTTCGCTCCATGGTTCCCTTTTTTTTTTTTTTTCAGAACTATGACTACCGTTTATCCTATTTACTATTTTCTGTTTTAAATTCCTTTACTTGATGCAACGTCACAATTTTAATATTTTTTTATGAGGAAAATTTTTTGAAACTGGTCATAATTATAGCTTTTATTCTGGCATTGGTTAAAACTGAACTGAAAAACATTGTTTTAGTTTTCTTTTAAGCTGAATGAATAAAGAAAAACAAAAATATTTAATAGTATCAACTTACGAATCGAAAGAAATAGGTGATGTGATTTCTATGACAGCGGCGGGCGGTATAAGGTCGTAGAAGATTTTTATTTCATTAAATTGGAAATCAACGTTTCCATAGAAAGTAATAGAAATTTTCATTTTTTTTTTTCTCGGATAAATCTTGTAATTTTTTCACAGAGTTTTCATAATTTATTCTGTTTGTCTTAAATTTGTATTTATAATTGAAGTAATATTCTTAAGATTTATTAAATTGTATTAAAAAAATTAATTTATACTGGAATTAGGCTGGTAAGTAGAATTTGTGCGATGTCCGCAACAGGTTTTCCACAACTTTCCTAGTGCAGTAAATGATAAACTTGTCCAGCTACAAGCCATGAAGGTCTCGTGTAGTAAGGACGTCCCCGGCTAACGGTTACAATAAGGTCAACGTGCATATTCAACCACCATGTTTATCCCTAAATTTTAGAGCGACTAGACATGATGGAAAATGTCCTTTGATCTTTAACTTTCGAATGAAATAAACGATTAATATAAAATCTAGTTGCCTACACAGGGTGCCCCCTACGTGAAAGGAAATATTTATAGGATGGATGGAAGGCCTGAAGAGCACACTTTGCCACGATTGTCAGCAGAAAATTAAGAAATCTATGTGTTGTGTTTTTGTAAGTGAGTCATGTTTTTTCTGTTGAACAAGAAACTATTATGAATAATGAATAAATCTATAAGCATTTTTATGGTTCCTTATCTAACTATCCCGTGAAGTTGACGTGTTAGAGTATGTATTAATACCCTTTCGGCACAAATCATGCTCATCCGTGAACTGATTGGCTTAGCTTTTTCCCTATTTCTTAGCGTTTTTATCTTCCGGTCTCTAAAGAGACAGAAGGAATAGCTCTTTCCCTGGGATCGTACCAAAACAATCAACTCGCTAACCAAAGGGAACTGGCAAAATTTGAGAAGTGGCGACAGAGACGGAGGAAGAGTCAATATTCTGTGAAAAGAGCTACCTGGCTCGGGGGAAAAAACGAGGGGTTGTGGGTGGAGATCAAGATTCACTGAAATGAGCTACCACTCCTCTTCCCGTACTACTTACCATTCACTCAAAGATGTCTTTCGTTCAGATTGTGATATCTCTTATCCGGTTCTTATCGTTTGTTCTCCGTTTTATTTTATCTCATCCAATAATGTGCAGAACGTTATGATGGATTCGAATTTTACAGTGAAATGGGTTATACTTTTTTTACTCCCACTTGTCCATATTTACAATAATTATGAAGTATTGCTATGGCGAAAAATTTTCTATCCGAGTTTTTAACGGAAATAAATGTCTTAATTGTATGTCAACATAGCTTAAAAACCAAAAGATGATTTCACACATTTCAAAATTTTCTCACCAGATTGGCATCATATTTTTTAACATATATATATTATTTAAAGCGAATAATTCACAATCTCTTTTTCTGCATTCTAGATTAAAAAAAATATATACAAATAATAATTTAAAAATCTATTTCCATTAAACAGAATATTGAGTTTAAAACATGCTTTCACATTGGTTATATATAGGTATATTACACGTAAACATCCCTCCCACTTACTGTCCAAATATTGTGAATTTCTAAACTGAGCACTAATTCCGTCGACTTCAATTATCAATTGAATCCATTAGCGATAGGGTGTGATTAGGCTGTGTGATTTATGCTGAGTGTAGGAACGCCCTAATAGTTTCTAGCAGTACACACCTGAAAGGTTACAAAAAAACACATGAAAAATAAAAATAAAAACGTAAGGAAATAACTGCTTACTCAATTGTCAGATTTTCAAAACAGAAATAAACATAGGTAAAAAGTAAGCTGGATATAAATATATAAAATCAATTGAGAACAACACTGAAGTTGTAATGAGGTTATATCCAGCGGATTCATCAGAAACCGATGAAACATCTGAGCTATCATTTAATCTCTGAATAAAGGAACGCGCTGAATTCCAGATGCGGTTTCCATCGATGAGTTTAGGAATGGTTTTATGGAATTCGGATCCCTATACACTGAGTTTAGGAGCTTGCGCATTATTTGGGCTCGATCGGACGAGAGCCAGTAGGCACAGCTTTATTCATCGGTTATTGTTCCTCAACCGCTTAAAGACCTATTGGTTTGTCTCGGATGTCTGTTACTGCCGCCTTTGAAATAAAAAAAAAAAAAAAAAATCTTAGACCTCATAAATATAGAACATTTTTATCGCTTTGGCCCACAATAGTGGAACGGATTTCGTCCAAGGCTGGTCTTCGTAATCCCCGAAGGTGAATTCACTTTTATAGCGATTTTTATGAGGTATCCAGCTAACTCGCTGGGGTTATTATTGAGCTATAAGGTTATCTTTCTCTCTTATTTAACTCCACTTCCTAAATTAAAATTTTTTAATAGTGGTTTATGGTAACGGAGTTTATAGAGGTTGGAAAGGTTTAGATGACCATTGTGGTTCTCTTCAATGGATTAATATCTGTAACTAATTTTATTGACGATCTGAAATGATGAGGGCCATTCGAGCTTCTATATAATAACATATTTATGGTTATTAAAAATAATATATGGATATATAACATAACAATCCATACAAAACATGTGACATAAGAATAAACCTTGGATATTTAATTACAATATATAAAGTAAAGTAAAATCGAGCTGGTGGGTAAAATTTATTTATATAAAAATAAATAATCACATATTTATGTTTTTTTGTAATATTTTTTTAATTTAAATTACATTTTTGAATGGATATCTCTAAACTGTCAAGGTTAATTAGTTCATATTTAGTTAACATTTTCTTAACCCTTTCCTGCTTTGCTCAACAATCGACTGGTTAATCATGGAAAACCAACACAACACTCTTTTCTTCATTAATGGTAATAATAATAATTGTACACCATTATTTATTTCGGAACAAATCCCGTTGTAACAAATTCACGAACTGAACTGCGGGCTTTTGACCCACAGGACAAACAAAAAAAGGACAAACAAAACAAATAGAAATGAGACGAAATCTTAATTTGTTATATTTTAAATAGGAAATGGTTTTAACAGTTCCCAAGATATTTGATAAAATATAATCCCAAAATGGCGATTCTTATTTTTTAAAATTGTATTTTGACAAATAAGATCAACTGTATTTTGACAGTTTTTCTTCAACTATTGAAATTAAAGAGCTCCAGAGCTTGTTTGCCGGTACGATGTAACCCCACCCTCTGCTAGACAGCGTTTTTTATTACCGGGGCGATGTGCAGTTTCATGTCGGCTCGAATCTGGTTACCCTTTGGTTCTCCTCAATGGACGATGAAACAGTTCCGCTATGAGTTGGCAGACTAATGCTATTTGAATGCTGAATGTGAACATTACATAACGGTTTATGAATTTAAGTTTTCTTCAAATCAGTCTAACGAGATTTCGGCTGTACCCTTTGACTATCCCATTGAAGAAAGCTATGGACACAGTTGCTTATTACTTTTTGGAAGGGGTAAGGAATCCTAGAGATACGCTTGGGTTAGAGTCGAGGTACCCTTAGTTACGCCACCAGAAAAATGTATCAAAATTACTGCTTTCCACTTCCAATTGTCTGTATCATAAGAATAAGATCTGTTATGATGTTGGACGAGATAATGTTGAACCTATTAGGATTTTTGTATGCTTGCTGATTCTGGTAAAAGTGGCGATTACAAGACGAAATGGGATGGCGATTTGGATTTGAAAACTAGTAATTAAGCTTACCTTCATATTGGTAAGAGCTGTTCAAAGCTGGAGCCTTGTCGAGTTTATAATTTGCGAACCGTTTCCAAACGATATAATTCATGACCGCACCAATCCTGAGAGGTTATTACAACAGTTATATAATTATAAATATAACAGAAATGATATGAAAAATGGTAAGTGGGAAGCTTCAAGTGATTAGAAAGAATGATTGGCAGGATGTCGCTTGAACTCTCTCTATTTTAAAATGTTCTCTTCCTTCAACCATCGAGTTTTCGAACCGGTGGGACCTTTGAAGATGTGCAACTGCCTATTATTAATATAGGATCTCGATTTTTCTTGCTGATTCATTTATTTAACTGTCAATTGATTTATAATAATTAGAGCAGTGCAGTAGTTTTTAGTGCACTTGTGTACCGATTACAAGTTCGTACTATCCCTTTCGAGATTAATGAAGCGAAACCTTCGAGGCATATGAAAGTTTATTTCTACACAGCAGGCCAATCAGCGATCGATTACTTCTTTTAACGATCTAGGGCTTAAAATGGATTTTCTTTTCTTTCATCCTCTGAGTTTTTAAGAAGATTATGAGTTGAAGTAAAAAGATGAATTAAAACAGGCAATACTGAAACCTGAAACTATTACTAAATCTAACGTACTTCGTATGAAAAAATACATTCCAATTGGTACCCAGTACGAACTAAGATATTTCAACCAAAGCTGTATTAATCTATTAGAGTCGAGGTAAAGAAAAGTTTTCCGTTCTTCAATATAATAAATATATATATTTATATAAACAATTTATATAAAACATTCTCTCAAAATATGAACAACGGTTGCTGTTAAAAAATAGTTAATTGACAGCATATTTATTCAAATTTTAATACATAAAAGCAAAATAATAATTAAATATTAAATAATAATCAAAAAGTATATGCAATGATATTATGATAAAAACTGATTGGGTATTGTTACATTTTGTCACTTGGACAATGGTCATAGTTTTGCTAATGGCATAGTGAGGTCAAACTACATTCACACTATATATACAGAAAAGATAAAATAAACAGAAGCATAATAACTACTAGATAATTATTAATAAGTATATATAATAAATAAAAATAAAATAATTTAAAGATAAGTAAATTCAATAGAACACAGACATAACTATGAACACAAATTCCAATCAGGCAAGGTAACTCCAAACCAGGCTTGTCCCTCTAGAGGAACTATAGAGGGATAAGCAGGACTCCGGGAGATCCCTGCGCCACTCTCTCAACCGCGTCACTGGTACTAAAGCCAGTGGTGATTGAGTGAGAGATTAAATATTTAGATATCGATTGCAAGTTACTAAGTTCGTTTTAATCTGCACAGATTACATTTTTTCTGCTTGGTAATTTTTTTAAATCTCCACAACTTAACACGCCAGTTCGAATCTCCGCGATTTTATAGATTCATATTTACGATATTTGTGTCACGCGATTTCGCTTAGCGTTGCCATCTAAATTCTCCTGTGTTATTATCTAGAGACAGTGCACATTCTGCTTCCCCTCAATATTTTTTCAAAGGTGATAGGCACCTCCTGTATTTCGCAGTAATTTATTTAAAAAACTCACCAAAAGTTAAAAAAAAACGTATATAAATATAACAAATGATATAATAATATGGAAATGAATAAATTCATTATAAGAGGAAGGAAATATATATATTTTATCCTCGGTCCATTATAACGGTTCGTTTTAAATAATAAACCAAAACAAGTGTACAAAATAAAATTGCCAGTATTCTTCTTAAAAAATGGTCCGGTTTTTTAAAATCATTTTGTTGAGAATTTGGAAAACTTTCAAACTCTATATACTATATTGCAGCATTAATTGTTAACTTTTTGAGTTTACGCAAATAAAATTTCCTTTTCTTCGTAGCTACATTTCCTGAATTCTCTGAAGGGTACTTATTCTTCTCAACCAAAGAAGAAGATAATCTTAAAAAATATTTCTCAATCACTAGGTTTAGTAAAGAATTTTTTTTTTTTTAATATTACAATCTGTCTCAAAGGACATTTATAATATTGTTCAGAGATCACATTCACACTCTACAATAAATTAAATAAATTATACAGAAAAATAATATATATATATATATATATATATATATATATATATATACAATAAAAAAAAATATAAAAAAACCTAAAAATAAATAAAAAATAACACATACAAACCTATTTACATTATAGCAAAGAATTAATGAAGAAATGGCTAACTAACAAAAATGCCTTCTTGAAATAATTTATTATATTGCAATACCGATAATAAGCTG